TTGCTCTAGTATAAACATGGTTATGGTAGGGATAAAGGGAGGAGGTTATGAGACTATACAGGAGTACCTAACTCAGTCTTGGTCAGGGGCAGTGAGAGGGAGGTCAGGGAGGACTTCCTGGAAGAGGTGACATCTGATGAATGCTGTGCAGGGGAGGATACATGGGGAGAACAGCAAGGTGAAAGATCTTTGGATAGCTGCGTAGCTTGGTATAATTAGTCTCTGACCTAAATGTGGGGAGAGGCCAGGCTCAGAGAGCAGAACATCTGGCTGTTAGTTTCTGAGTCTGGGCCTCCTGCCGCATCAGCCGCGCCCTGTTTGAGCCTTAGCCCGCAGTGCGCTTGTCTGGCTTGCTCTTCAGAGAGCTTCCCGTCTGCGGCGAGGAGCTCGGGTTGGAGGAGCTGAGTAGAGGCAGGCGTGTCCTGCCACATCAGCCCAGTCCTTCCAGGAGCTGTGACCCCGTGAGGGCTAACGCTCAGAAGACAGCCAGATTTATTGGAAGGTGCCACGATGCCTCTGGAAGTGAGGCTTCCTGCCCAGGATCGCCTAGCCCAGCTGAGACCACAGAGGAATGTTCTCAAGCCTGTGAGAAAGCGACCTGCATGACCCCACCGTGACCCCACCGTGTGCTATTAAAATGGAAAGCCACTTCAAAGCTTGTCTTCCTTTGACCGGGACACTGAGTCCGGGCTCCGAACTAATCATTTACCTGGAGTTTTTTGCCCTGGGAATTCTCTGTTTGAGCCTGCGTCTGCTCAAGGAAACCATTTCTCTTTAAAGCCTGGACGTGAAGTACCTAGCCCATTGCATGACCTCAGTTACAAGCTGCCTTCATTACCATTTAGCCTCCTAAGTCCTCCTACATTTCTGGAAATCTCTGATAGCGTTTCAAAATGCTGACATGCTAGGGCAGTGTGTGTTTGGTCATTCTTCATTTATTTTCTTTACTTCTTTTTTTTTTTTAAGAATTACTTTATTTATTTGTTTGTTTGTTTATTTATTTATGTTTGACCAGAGAGGGACAGAGTGAGGGAGGGGTTGGGGAAATGAGAAAGCAAGCCTCCAGGTCCAGGACTCGAACCACTGTCAGCCATGTGGGAGTCCAGCCCACTTAACCACCACCCCACCTGCTGGCCCCTATTTTCTTTACTTCTTGTACAATACATAATGCAACTAAAGGAACCCTGGAAATTGATGTGAGAAATGAATACTGAGGTTTAGATCCTACTGGAAAACAAAACAAAACAAAACAAAAAAAGCAGCAGAGGTGTTCTGTGGGTAGATGCTTTATCTGGATAAGCAGATGTGTGCATTTGAATCCAGAACTATCTCTAGACCTACTGAGGCAAGATCTCCTGCATATCTTTCAGAAAGTAATTCTGAGCTCTTCTGGCTGAAAAACACAGCCATCAGTTGCTACCCTTGACTAATCAACAAACAGTGATTAACTTACTTAGTGCGCTTGGATTAAATCCTCCGGTGACCTCCTGCACCTACAATTAGCCCGGTTGGAACTCTGCGTCCTGTTCCCCAAAAGAGCCAGAGTGAGATCCCAAAAGCGGGTTTTGCCCCTCGTAAACGCCATTGAATCCAGCATTGTTTTAAAGTAAATATTTAGTCTTACCTCACACCATCGGCAGTGCTAACGTGTTTCATTGTCTGCCATCTTTCTCACAGACCAAGCTGTGTTTGTTTTTCTAGGACAAACTACCCTAAGGACGTTCTCCGGGTGTTTTTATTCCGCTTGTGTTTGTTTTCCTGGGAGTGCGAGAATGGCGCTTGGCGAGTGGGCTCCTGCAGTTCTCAGCCAGGCTCGGGCGGCCGCTCCACGGTCATGTCCATGACACAAAGGCAGCCCTTTGGCTTGCTGGCAGAAGGAGACACACTGGGTCTTCAGAACAAACGTGGCTTCTTTCTAAGCTTGCAAAAACACTTTCTCACTAGCAGTCTTCACACGGTCAGGTTTTATATTTCTTTTTAAATTTGCTGTAGGATATGTGCACTCACCAGAGAGAGACAGAGAGAAAAAGAGAGAAAAATATTACCATTTAGCCTCCTAAGTCCTCCTACATTTCTGGAAATCTCTGATAGCGTTTCAAAATGCTGACATGCTAGGGCAGTGTGTGTTTGGTCATTCTTCATTTATTTTCTTTACTTCTTTTTTTTTTTTAAGAATTACTTTATTTATTTGTTTGTTTGTTTATTTATTTATGTTTGACCAGAGAGGGACAGAGTGAGGGAGGGGTTGGGGAAATGAGAAAGCAAGCCTCCAGGTCCAGGACTCGAACCACTGTCAGCCATGTGGGAGTCCAGCCCACTTAACCACCACCCCACCTGCTGGCCCCTATTTTCTTTACTTCTTGTACAATACATAATGCAACTAAAGGAACCCTGGAAATTGATGTGAGAAATGAATACTGAGGTTTAGATCCTACTGGAAAACAAAACAAAACAAAACAAAAAAAGCAGCAGAGGTGTTCTGTGGGTAGATGCTTTATCTGGATAAGCAGATGTGTGCATTTGAATCCAGAACTATCTCTAGACCTACTGAGGCAAGATCTCCTGCATATCTTTCAGAAAGTAATTCTGAGCTCTTCTGGCTGAAAAACACAGCCATCAGTTGCTACCCTTGACTAATCAACAAACAGTGATTAACTTACTTAGTGCGCTTGGATTAAATCCTCCGGTGACCTCCTGCACCTACAATTAGCCCGGTTGGAACTCTGCGTCCTGTTCCCCAAAAGAGCCAGAGTGAGATCCCAAAAGCGGGTTTTGCCCCTCGTAAACGCCATTGAATCCAGCATTGTTTTAAAGTAAATATTTAGTCTTACCTCACACCATCGGCAGTGCTAACGTGTTTCATTGTCTGCCATCTTTCTCACAGACCAAGCTGTGTTTGTTTTTCTAGGACAAACTACCCTAAGGACGTTCTCCGGGTGTTTTTATTCCGCTTGTGTTTGTTTTCCTGGGAGTGCGAGAATGGCGCTTGGCGAGTGGGCTCCTGCAGTTCTCAGCCAGGCTCGGGCGGCCGCTCCACGGTCATGTCCATGACACAAAGGCAGCCCTTTGGCTTGCTGGCAGAAGGAGACACACTGGGTCTTCAGAACAAACGTGGCTTCTTTCTAAGCTTGCAAAAACACTTTCTCACTAGCAGTCTTCACACGGTCAGGTTTTATATTTCTTTTTAAATTTGCTGTAGGATATGTGCACTCACCAGAGAGAGACAGAGAGAAAAAGAGAGAAAAATCACCTTCAGGGAGGATGGCCAAGCCATATTCCTTTTTCCTCCATGGTCCTCTCAGGTTTTAGGCACACACATGCACGTGTGCACGCATGCACACACATGTGCCAGTGTGTTTCTCAAGCCACTGGGCCTGGGGCTCAAACCTCATGGTCAGCTATGTGGGCTCCAGCCGCCTTAACCACCATGCTGCCTGGCTGGCCCCTGTTTTTTGTGTTTAATTGAATAGAAAATGGGGATGCCTATAGCTGCAATTGAGGTGGTAATCAAATGCGGCACTGAAATAAACGGAAGGTCCACGATCACAGTTTAACTTTGCCACTCCTTTGTATGCAGAGAGAGCTGCCATTCTGTAGACGCTCGGGACCTGTTTCCTTGGTCCGCTGTGAGATCGTCTTGAACTGATTTCCTCTGGTGTTGTCATGACCTCCAGAAACTAGTGTGTATTTCTTTATGTTAAAACGCAGAAGCATTTTTTTCGATGTTTGATGGAGAGAGGGAGTGCAGACAGACGGAAACCAGCAATTCCACTTAACGTTTCTGTTTCAGGTGGTCCTACCCGCTGCCGACAGTCGATTCTAGAAAGTCTTAGCCGTAACCACCCGTGTTAGATGAAGTCGAGTGACAGAGGCCTGTGCTTTACTCCTCAGATCTGTCCTTAGATTGAGGTGCCTCAGATCCTTCTCACCCAGGGCAAAAGGCCTCCCATCACCCCGCCTGCAAGCCCCTGTTCCACTGTATTCACTGGAGACGTCAGTCATTTCTTCCTCTAGAATGTTCTATCACCGCTCACTTCTTCTGAGACTTTCCCAAGTGTTCTCTGCTGGTCTCATCTTCTCATCCATCCTGGAGCTCTCTGGAAGGTGTCTCCTCCCTCGCCTCCCCCTAAACCTTTCTTATTCTTCTATTGCTGTGTCCTCATAGTTTCTTTGTCACTTTCTCGTTCCCAGACCTCTTCTATTCCCCACGTTGTCCACTCATTCCCATGTTCTGCAATGCCTCAACATTTACAGGCCGTTTTCAACCATGCTGCTTCATTAATGCTCAGAATAACCCTGGGAGGAGTGAGAGTGTTCCCCTTCACAGATGAAGCAGCGGAGGCCGGTAGGAGGCCGGTAGGAGGTCGCCGGCACGTGCGTGAGGGTTCTTGTTCCTCGTGCCGTGCTGCCTCCTCCATCCAAGTGCTTCTCTTTTCAGTCATTGGTTGCCATCTATCGCACAGTTATCAAGTGGCCACTTTGTACTAGCACTGGCTACAGGGGTGACAAGGTAGCCATGGGGTCACCCTCCTCAAGGGCACAGTCTAGTGGTCCACCCTGTCTTGCCACATGCCCCCGAAGGAGGACATGCCACTCTTCCGTTTACACAAGGACAATGCTAGGAGGAGCCGGAAGTGCTGGCTGGTGAATGGAGCCTTCATTCGATCGCTGGACATGCCTGTGGATGACAGTTTGAGAGTGCGTTCATTCGTTCTCTTAGTTTTAATGATGCTGCCAAGAATCCCCATTCAAGAACCAACATTTGGGAACCAGCAGGTGGCATGGTGGTCAATGCACTGGACTCCCATAGAGCCGACCGCAGTTCAAGTCCCCGGACCTGGTGGCTTGAAAATCACTCTGGACATGTGCGTGTGTACCCAAAATCCCAGGAGGAGAAAAGAGAAGAGACTGCATTGCCATCTCCCAAGGGAGGCATGAGTTTTCACCTTCCCCCTCTCTGTCTCTCTCTTCAGTGTGCGCACGTACCCTATGGCCAAAAACCAAACCCCAAAGAACCAACATTTTATTTTATCTCCTACTCTGTCCCAGGCAGAAGGCTTTGTGCTGGGGCAGAAAGTTGCCTCTGGTCCTTGAGGAGAGGTGCAGAGAAGGGGTTAAGCAGGAAAACACCACATTTCTCAATTTTAAGATTCAGTTTTAACATCTATGAAAGTTGGATGTATATTTGAATGATAATTGATGATATTAAAAATGAGTGATATCTAACATAATGGGACATCTGACGAATTTGAACAGAAGCACATAAAAATGGGAGCCTGTGGAAAGGCAGAACTCCCTGGGGCCCTGGGGAAGGTTTCTCTAAGGAGGTAGCAGATGGGTCTCTCAGTGGCTTTTTATTAACTGGGACTATAACAAGCAAAATATGCCAGCCACTTTGTTTGTTCATTCTACAGACATGCTTAACGTGAGCCTCTGCTCTGAGCTTAGTGCTTAGTGCACAAAGAACTCGCCCTGCTGAGTAGAAGAGAAGGGGACAGAAGTTGGCAGCCACGAGGCCACACGGGCTTTGAACTAGGTTATCACAAAGCGTGTGTCAGAAGTCAGTGTGCTTGTGAGAGTGAGTCCGAGGAAACCCACCCAGTCTGAGATGACAGGGAGGAAGGAGCTGAGAGGTCTTGAGACAGTTGTGTCAAAATTAGTTTGGCAAGGAGGAGGCTTTAGGGGAGGGAGTTCTAGGCGAGGGAAAGCGTCTAATGGCCCGAGGTGGGCAGCGGAACCAGCCGTTTGATCCAGTGAAAGGCCGGAATAGCTGGATTCCAAAGAGGGTGAGGAGTGGGGTTCGAAGGGAGACTGCGAAGTGGCAGGGGCTAGATCAGGAGGCCCCAGGAAGGACTGAAGACTCAGCGCCTTGTAGGCATCCTTGCCTCGCCGGTAGTAAACCAAAGCTGTGTCTCTACCCCCCAGGCTCACCTCGTGGCTGCCTTTGAACAGAGTCTCGGGAACATGACAATCAGGCTCCAGAGTCTGACCATGACGGCTGAGCAGAAGGTAAGGCAGAAGAGTGAACAACAAACCTAAAAACAATATTCTCCAGGGGCCAGTAGATGGCATGGCAGTTAAGGTGCTAGACTCCCACATGGTCGACTGCAGTTCAAGTCCCAGACCTGGCTGCTTGCTTTCTCACTCCCCTCCCCTCCCCTCTCTCTCTCTGGTGAATTAAATAATAATAATAATAATAATAACAAATTGATTTAATTAATTATTTTAAAATTCATCATCGAGAAGAACATTACATCGTATTGTGCACCTTCGGTATTTATTCTAGTTTTTGGGGGTATAGATTTATGCACTTGAACTACAGGAATTGAACTGTAGAGAGCAGACCTGTTGGATGGAAACAGGACTGTGGCTGAGTGATGATAGCAGCCTCTGATGAAACTCGTGGTCACGTTCCTACATTTATGGGTCCGTTTACACCTGTCGAAGATTGGTCCCAATTCCCGAATGAGTCAGGTTTTCTCGAGCTCCGTTGTCCCCTCCCCTCTCTGTTGAAGCGAAGCCGTACCTCAGCTGCTGCCTGCTCAGGATGATCTCACAACGACTGATGTTCCTTTCTGCTCCTCAGGATTCAGAGCTGAATGAGTTAAGAAAAACTATTGAGCTGCTGAAGAAGCAGAATGCAGCTGCTCAGGCTGCCATTAACGGAGTAATTAACACACCAGAGCTTAACTGCAAAGGTAAAGAGACCCAGACAGCGACCCGCATGCCCTGACAACACGTGACGCCACCGCCCTGCTGGGGGGTGGGTGGGTGGCCGTGTGATCTAGGTTCTGGGCGGCCAAGGCTTTTCATCTTGCTGCTTCTGGCCTCTGTGAAAGACAGCTATTGTAGCTCATAAATGGAAGGAAATATATTTCTTTGTTTTTTAAATAATTATTTAATTTTACTTATTTATTTATTTTAATTTGACCAGAGAGGGACCGGGACGGGGGGGAGGGGGGAGAAAGAGAGAAAGCAAGTCACCAGGTCCAGGACTCGAACTGCGGTCGGCCATATGGGAGTTCAGCACCCTTAACCACCAAGCCACTTGCCAGCCCCATAGGAAGTATATTTCTATTAGCAGAGTGCCAGCATGTTTTACAGCCTTTAACTTCACTAACGCTTCGCTGTGTACATGCTGCTGTGGGACCAGCTGAAATGGGGTTCATCTCCTATTCGTCCAGGAAGACATTTCTGAGTGAATTGTTTTGTCCTTGTCTATCTTAACTGGAGTTTAAAAAGTAAGGACATCCAGTGGCATGGTGGTTATGGCAGCGGGTCCCATAGGGTGGACTGTGTGTTTCAAACTCTGGACCTCTGGTGGGTTAAAAAACACACCAGGCATGTGTGTGTGCATGCCCAAAATCTTAAGGGGTGATTCTCACTTTCTCTCCCTCACTGTCTCTCCCCAGTCCACAGAGTGCTCATGCCCTAGAGCAAACTAAAAAAATAAGAAAAAGAAAATCAAGTGGGTTTTCTCCTGCAGTAACAATACAAAGAGACATTAAAAAGTGTGTGGGCAAACTGAATTAAAGTACAAGTTTATTTTGGTGCCAAAAAAATTAAAATCCACATGAAGTTTTTCATAATGTACATTTTTCATAAACCTTTGGAAATCCCTCATTTTTTAAAAAAGAGTTTTAAAGAATTAAATTTTTTTTAAGAATTATTTTATTTATGGGACCAGCAGATGGCATAATGGCTACGTCACTGGACTCCCATGTAGTAGACTATGGTTTGAGTCCTGGACCCAATGGCTTAAACTCACGCCAGGCACGTGTGCATGCATGCCCAAGATCCTGACAGAAGAATGGAGGAGAAGGGATTGAGGTTTGGCAATCCCTGCCGGGGGGTGATTTCTCATTTTCTGTCTCTCTGTCTCTCTCTGTCTTTCTGGCGAGTGCACGCCCCTATAGCAAAAACATCTCTCCCCCCAAAAAAGAATTATTTTATTTAACTTTATTTATTTATTTTAATTTGACCAGAGAGGGACAGCGTGAAGAGGTGGGGGGCAGTGAGAAAGCAAGCCGCCAGATGCAGGACTTGAACCATGGTCGGCCATGTGGGAGTCCAGTCCCCTCAACCGTCACACCATCTGCCAGCCCCAAAGACCCCTCATATTAACAGTAATGATGGAAGTCGGCGATCACCTGTACGGAGCACTTGCTGTGATTCGAATACCAGGCTCGGGGTGTTAACTGCAATCTCATTTTCCTGCTGTAGCAATATTACGGGTGTGATATCTGTTCTCGCTCCTACTGATAAGGGCCCTGAGGTTCAGACCCAAGGCCCACTTCCTAACGTCAGCAAGTGGGAAAAACAGAAGTGGGACTAGAACCAAGGCTGTCCGACTCTGAAACTGATCTTACAGACTAGTCTGTACGTTTAGTTCTTGTCTCCATCAGAAAAACCATCAGCTAACTCTATTTTCAGTATCACTGTTCTTTCGGATATCTGGCCTCCTGAAAAAGTGATGATAGAGTTGAAAGGGGCAGGATAAGCAAGAGCTGGCCAGCGTGGAATGAAAAGGGCATTTCAGGCAGAAGGAACAGCACATGCAAAGGCCCTGAGGCCAGATAGCTTTGGCACTGTGGGGCTGAGAGAAGGCTGGAACAGTAGGAACCTAGAGAGCAGAGGAGAGAGGAAGCTACCAGAGAAGGTAGCTGTTGCCACAGCTCAGAGGTGCATTTCTGTGCCTCCTTAAACATTAAGAGGGACCAACTAGTGGCATAGTGGTTAAGGTGCTGGACCCCCACATGGCCAATTGCAGTTCAAGTCCCAGACCTGGCAGCTTGAAAATCACACTGGATATGTGTGCATGCATGCCCCAAATCCCAAGAGGAAAATGAAGGGGAAGGGATTATGGTATAGCTATCCCCTCTGGGGGGTGATTACTTACTTTCCCTCTCACTGTCTCTCTGTCTCTCTCTGTCAAGCTCACACTTCCTATGGCAAAAATACCTTAAGACAAAGAAAAAGAAAAACCATTAAGAGAGCTGGTGTTGGGGAGTTCCCGTAAGCCTCCCTTTACATCATTTTGTAAAGTGGAGAGAGACAAAGAGAGATAGAGACCTCATTTCATTGACCAAGGAGGGTATAGCATCCACCTACTCGAGGACCCTAAAACCAACATTGGAGAGCAGAGGTCATGTCTGAGTGGGATAGGCTGAGTGAGTAGTCCTCAGGAATGTGGATTTCAGCCGTGCCCTGGGCCAGGGCGCTGGGTCCGCGTTGGCGGTACAGTGCTGATACGTCGGGAACTGCCTTGTCTCCAGGGAACGGCCCCACCCAGTCGGCAGACCTCCGCATCCGCAGACAGCACTCCTCCGACAGCGTGTCCAGCATCAACAGCGCCACCAGCCACTCCAGCGTGGGCAGCAACATCGAGAGCGACTCCAAGAAAAAGAAGAGGAAGAACTGGGTGAGTGTGCATCGGAAACTTCACCTGGGGACTGGCAAGCAGCCAGCCTCAGGGCCCCAGCCCCCAGACAGAGCCCAGGCTAGCCCCTAACTTCAGAGCTTCGGGAGCAGATGTAAGGAAACAACTTGTGGCTAGGTTTTCACTAACATCAGGGTGCTCAACAAGACAGCAGGATTTACAAAGTAACCACCGTCTCGTGGATTTTCTCTCTCGTGAGACTTTCTCTCTCATGAGACTTTGTGTGCATCCTTCATTTCATCAGTGTATCATTTCTTCATTATATGTGGGCCACAAAGTTTCAGTGCTAGAGCAAAGTTATTAAGTGGCTTCTTCCTCCAAAGTATCTTTTTTTTAACATCTATCTCTAGTTACCCCCACCGTTAATTACAATCTTTATTTATAGAATTATCTAGCATACCATCAAATCAACCTTCTGTTTGCAAATCTTTTAGCCATGCCCTGTAAATAAAAGTTTCATGGGACCAGTAGATGGCATAATGGTTATGTCGCTGGACTCCCACATAGTTCACTGCTGTTCGAGTCCCGGACCCAACAGTTTAAAGCTCACACTGGGCACCTGTGTGTGCGTGCCCAAGATATTGAGACTGGAGGAGAAGGGATTGTGGTGTGGCCATCCCCCCTGGAGGGTGATTTCTCGCTTTCTGTCTCTTTATCTTTCTCGGTCTCTCCAGTGAGTACACGCACCCTATAGCAAAAATCTGTCTTAAAAAAAAAGTTTCATCGTTTCAAACTAGTCCCATGACATCGTGGTGAAGGGAATCACATCCCACATGACCCACTATGGTTCTGGCAGCTTGAAAAACATGCCAAGTGCATGCATGCATGTCCCAAATCATGACAGAATGAAAAGATGGAGGAGAAGGGATTACAACATGGCCACTCTTCATTGGGATGTGCCTTTTCCGGGAACTGCCTTGTCTCCAGGGAACGGCCCCACCCAGTCGGCAGACCTCCGCATCCGCAGACAGCACTCCTCCGACAGCGTGTCCAGCATCAACAGCGCCACCAGCCACTCCAGCGTGGGCAGCAACATCGAGAGCGACTCCAAGAAAAAGAAGAGGAAGAACTGGGTGAGTGTGCATCGGAAACTTCACCTGGGGACTGGCAAGCAGCCAGCCTCAGGGCCCCAGCCCCCAGACAGAGCCCAGGCTAGCCCCTAACTTCAGAGCTTCGGGAGCAGATGTAAGGAAACAACTTGTGGCTAGGTTTTCACTAACATCAGGGTGCTCAACAAGACAGCAGGATTTACAAAGTAACCACCGTCTCGTGGATTTTCTCTCTCGTGAGACTTTCTCTCTCATGAGACTTTGTGTGCATCCTTCATTTCATCAGTGTATCATTTCTTCATTATATGTGGGCCACAAAGTTTCAGTGCTAGAGCAAAGTTATTAAGTGGCTTCTTCCTCCAAAGTATCTTTTTTTTAACATCTATCTCTAGTTACCCCCACCGTTAATTACAATCTTTATTTATAGAATTATCTAGCATACCATCAAATCAACCTTCTGTTTGCAAATCTTTTAGCCATGCCCTGTAAATAAAAGTTTCATGGGACCAGTAGATGGCATAATGGTTATGTCGCTGGACTCCCACATAGTTCACTGCTGTTCGAGTCCCGGACCCAACAGTTTAAAGCTCACACTGGGCACCTGTGTGTGCGTGCCCAAGATATTGAGACTGGAGGAGAAGGGATTGTGGTGTGGCCATCCCCCCTGGAGGGTGATTTCTCGCTTTCTGTCTCTTTATCTTTCTCGGTCTCTCCAGTGAGTACACGCACCCTATAGCAAAAATCTGTCTTAAAAAAAAAGTTTCATCGTTTCAAACTAGTCCCATGACATCGTGGTGAAGGGAATCACATCCCACATGACCCACTATGGTTCTGGCAGCTTGAAAAACATGCCAAGTGCATGCATGCATGTCCCAAATCATGACAGAATGAAAAGATGGAGGAGAAGGGATTACAACATGGCCACTCTTCATTGGGATGTGCCTTTTCTCTCTCTGCCTCATTCTGGTGAGCTGACACCCTCTGGCAAAATCAAACAGCAAAAGAAGGATGATTATCAATGTCCGAAGTCAGTGCGCGGTCCTGAGCTAGGGGCTGTGCCTCGCAGTGGTAGGCCTAACAGACCAGCCTCCGCTGCAGCGCTTCTCCCTGGTCCATAGTCCCAGCAAGCACCCTGGACACCTGTGCAGTGCCTCGAACAGGGCTTCCTGCTCCTCTGGGCAAATCCACTTCCCTGTCCCCACCCGGGCGTTAGTTCACTCAAGGCCGTGGAGCTGCGAATAACTCTCGATGCTCCTTGGATCCAGGGTAGGAATATCCCGAGTTGATGAGAAGTTGGCCGGTGGCCCAAGATCCCAGTTTGTCAATGCTGTTGCCATCCGCTCTCCAAGTGGCTTCACGTCCTCATCCATCCCGTACATCTCTCACTCATTTCGTGTTATCTTGGATGGGTGGCGAGGTCCAGTGTTGGAGGAGCCAGGGACTTAGTACTGTTGGCTATTGGTGACTCATATTAGAGGCAAGCTGCAATCCAGCTCGGTGTGATCCTGTCATCAATATGACTAAGGCTTCTTTCTTTCTTTCTCTCTTTCTCTCTTTCTCTCTCTCCTTCTCTCTCTCCTTCTCTCTTTCTTTCTTTCTTTCTTTCTTTCTTTCTTTCTTTCTTTAAATTATACTAATGGCTTTTGGTCAACTCATTTGCTCTGACTACACAGAAAGGATTAGCTCATGCTGTCTCTACTACACAGTCAATAAATATGGTCTGATTGGATTATTGCAGTAACGAATATTTGCTGTGAAAAATAGTAATTATCCATTTCCTTCAAGAAATAGAACTGGTTTATGTCGTTTTTTTAGGACAGCGCTTGACTCTCAGTGACATCAGGGAGGTTGGATCTTTGACATCCTCAGCTAGTCCCGAAGCTTAGTTCTACCTAATCTTTGTAACCCCTTCTTGCACACGACACTGTCAAAGGTGGAGGCAAGGGTTTTGGTTGATGGATGGTGTATTACATCCTCCTGCTTCTCCGACCACTCTCTGGAAATACGATCAGAAGGAGGAAATGGGAGAGAGATGGAATCCCAGTTTGCCCATGAGCTGGACATGAAAGTTAGTTCTGAGTAAACCACATTGATGGGAGGAAAAGCTCATCCGTTCTCAGAATGGCCCATTTTGGACTTTCTCAATGGCTAAGCAAACTCCCAGTGTATGTTCTCAGAAGGAAAAGGGACTTTCAAAGAAGGAAATTACTTTTCAGAAGATCTTTTTTGAGACAAAACATTAATTTATTTTAGGAAAATAAATGCTAGGAAAATCAGTGCTGATCATGGCTTTCAAAGAAGATATGACACTTGAATTCTTTATGTTCTCATTAGAGTTTCCAGGTCTGTCCTGTAGTTTGAGAAAATTTTATGCACCAGTTCCTTTTCCCAGTGTGGTTAATAAGTTTCTTAAGGCCATTCAGTTTTTGAGTAACAAGTGGAATGGTTAATGCCCTGCTTGTTTGATTGTCGTCTTCTGTACAAGAACTGCTAAGGAGAAGAGCCGAAGAGTTACACAGTCATGTGGGCCAGGGCAGTGGTAGGTCTGGTGTTGCTCAGAATAGGAGACTCCCTCCTCCTCACCTCCATAGAGCCATAGAGAGTTGATCGATCACGGGCAAAAAAAAGGGCCAGAGGCACCAGAAAATGGGCGGCAGTCAATTCAGTTAGACAGAGAGAAGCTGGAAGAACTCGGGTCACGAAGACTTCCTGATCTGCTGTTCCCTTCTTTTCATAGCAGAGGAAGGTGCCCAGAATGCTTTTAAAGATTCACGTTCCCACTGGAAACCTCCTCTGTTTGTGGTGTTTATGATGAGCCATGTTGTGTCTGAAAAGTCCAGAACTTTCTCTGTCACTGGCTTTCTCTGTTAAAAATTGTCTCTTTTCCTTCCCCCTCCCTGTTTTTGCTTGCATTTTCTCTGGCAGGTCAATGAGGTAAGCAAGACCAACTTGAATATGAGATACCAAGCTAACCCATCCATGGATCTGACTAACCTCATCCGCATCCGTCACCTTGTCTGAGCACCCCGCTTTGTTGCTGTGTTACCTCATCTTCCCGACACCCCCTGCTGAGCCAGGCACTGTCTTGCTGTTGGCCTCTAGCCTTGAGCCAAGAGTAGGCATGGAATGTCACCCAAGGTCCGGTCCTTTGAGCTGTCAGCACCGGATAACTCTTCTCCTTATGCACTGATTCGAGAGAGCTGTTGGAACCTTTTCCTTTGGTGGGGGAAAATGTGGGAGGATTAATTGCTCTTTTGAGTGCATGTCTTTGTTTTGCCAACGCCTTAGCATCGCTCCTGGCTCCCGCAAGGCTGATAGTCTTGTCTGTTTAGTTACGCAGCTCCTTCAAGCAAGCTTTTGGGAAGAAGAAGTCTCCCAAGTCAGCATCCTCTCATTCGGACATTGAGGAGATGACGGATTCTTCTTTGCCTTCCTCGCCAAAGTTACCACACAATGGGTCCACGGGTTCAACTCCGTTGCTGAGGAATTCTCACTCCAACTCTCTGTAAGTCCGTCTGTTGGGGTTACCGTGGTCAGATCACATCTTTGTCCCCTCAGGGCCCTCCGAAACAGGAGCAGCTGGGTGTCCAGTTATGGTCCATCTGGTTCTGAGGTCCTTTCTGTTTGGCTCTAATAGGACTGTGACTATCGTTTCAGTGTTTTAGGTCTAGGAAGGTTGAAAGGAAAAGAAGACGTAGATTTTAATAGTGGTGGTATTGGTGTCCGTAATTAGCTGGCTGTCCTCAAGCAAGTTGCTTAAGCTCTCTGTTTCCTTGTCTTTATATGTCAAAGGCATATGGTGGTTGTCCACTTACCTTACCCTAAAGATCGAGTAGCATAAATGGATATAAAAAAGCTAAAACCATTTCTCTGTGAGAGGGAGATAACATTATGATAGCTGCTAAGATTGCGCTTCATTTAGGTGATAGGAATTAGATTTTACTTTCCTTCTTTGGTCAAAAGTTGGTGTTGACTCTTCCTCTGAGGTCAGAACTTAGAAACGGGAAGTTTAAAAAAGAAATAGAAGGACTAGCAGTTAGTGTAATGGCTATGTCGCTGGACTCCCATGTAGTCAACTGCGGTTCACGTCCTGGACCCAGCAGCTTAAACTCACGCCGGGCGCGTGTGTGTGTGTGCCCAAGATCCCAAGAGGAGAATGGAGGAGAAGGGATTGCGGCGTGGCCATCCCCCCTGGGGGGTGATTTCTTTCCTTGTTTCTCTCTGTCTCTCTCTATCTGTCTGGCGAGCGCATGCGCCCTATAGCAAAAACCTCTCCCAAAAATAAAAAGCAAAGAAAATAATTAATAAAATTAAAAAGAAATAGATTCAGTGACACATCTCTACCAAAGGAGTGCTTACAGGTGTTTCAAAATAACCCATGCTCGTGGACTCCACTAGGAAATTCAGTAAATTCCGTGTTGTAGCCGGGTCCCTGCAGGAGCACCCCTGGTTCGGTGCAGCGAGTCCGCAGTGCCTACTCAGTGCTCGCTTCAGGGCTGTTCCCTTGACCACTAGATACACAGAAGAGAAACTTCAGCTCATGCACAGCCGACCCCCATGATTCCCACTGAGCACCCGCTGATGGCTCCTCCATCGGGCACAGGGAGACAGTCCTATGCCTAGCGTAGAAACACGAGGCCCAGACTCCAGAGGCAAGAGCAGGTCAAGAATGGTTTGGGACGCTGGGTGGGAACTTGGACACCTGCTCAGAGAGAACAGCAGAGCCGCCCTCCTGCAGCAGTGAAGAGGGCCACCTCTGCCCAGGAGAGGACATTCTACTTGAGACAATGGTATGCCAGGCCTGGAATTAAAGACGACCTCGGCCATCAGTACTCTGGAAAGAAAGCAATCAGTGAAATGAGACAGTGCCTGGGAGAAGGAAGTTGTGGCCAGGTCAGAACAGCCATGAGAGGTTTAGAAAGAGGAGACGTTTGGTTGTATTGGGTCATTGGAAAAGTTATGATGCATCTTTGCATAGAAAAACACATTATGACTTCTGACCACCCAGCGTAAACTTCTTGTCCCTTTTTGGTAAAGATGGGATGAATTGGGACCAGCAGATTGCGTAATGGTTACATCACTGGACTCCCATGTGGTCTACTGCAGGTTGAATCCCAGGCCTGGTGGCTTAAAAACTAACGCTGGGCACATGTGTGTGCATGTCCAAAATCCCAAGAGGAGAACGGAGGAGAAGGGATTGCAGCATGACCATCCCTCCTGAAGGGTGATTTCTCATTTTCTGTCTCTCCGGTAAGCTCATTCACTCTACAGCAAAAATCTCTCTTAAAAAAATTAAAAAGTTGGAACCAGCAGTTAGCGTAATGGCTATGTCGCTGGACTCCCACGTAGTGGACCGTGGTTCCCATCCCGGACCCAGTGGCTTAAAACTCACGCCGGGCGTGCGTGCGTGCCTGCCCAAGATCCCAAGAGGAGAACAGAGGAGAAGGGATTGCGGCGTGGCCATCCGTGTTCGGGCGTGGCCACCCCCCCCCCGGGGGGGGGGTGATTTCTTGCTTTCTGTCTCTCTTTGTCTGTCTGACGAGCACACGCGCCCTATAGCAAAAACCTCTCAAAAAAAAAAAAAATTAAGAAGTTTTAAAAACAAGATGAATTATGTCACTGGGTTTCTGGAAGGGCCAAGTAAGAGACTACACGTGAAGGGCCTCTTTCTTCCTCCTTCCTCGGGAGGGTGGGTCTGTGAAGCTGCCCAAGTCCACTTAGTCAGCCAGCCCGCCGGGGACAGCAGCCTGTACCAGTGTGCCAGGCTCTGTGGGTGGCTCCACAGATGGGTACAGAGAGTGAGAGGCCAACTTTCTAGCACACTAACTATGTGGACAATGGAGTGTCATTCTGTGACTTCCCATGTTGGTGAAATGTGGTCAGGGTCTCCGCTTCACTTAATTAACTATGAGCTCCTCTTCTCTTGGGGAACAGCCCAATCAGAGGGTGGCCACAGGGCTACGGGCTTCCGCCACATATGAGGGCACGACCCTAAGCAGGGGAAGCGGGAGGAGCACTGTGCACTGGGCTGCCATGCATGTGCAGGGGCCAGCAGTGCCGTGTGTTCCAGTGGAGGACTGGGCCGGTGACCGAGGGCGCATGTCCTGTTCTGAGTAGAGAGAGAACAAGTCATCTGTGACTCTCTGTGGCTTTGACCCAAAGCACCCCGATCCCATTGTTAGCTGACCAAGAGGAAAAGGACTCATCACCTCCTTTTTTGAGGAGGATTCAAACTTCCGTGTGGCAGCCCGTGTGGACAGGGCAGTGTTTCGGGTGCTAATGGGATCCCCACCCCCAGTGTGACCACGACCCTGCACAGTTCCTCCTGCCCCTGAGCCTCCTCTGTGCGGCCCCATGATCGGCTCCATTACAGCAGTGTACAGGACAGATAAGGCCCCTGCCCTGGCAGGCCCTGCATGCCAAGGGAGAGAAGGCCATTAGACGAACAAATCCTAAAGGAAAAAAAAAAAAAAACAGGTGACGCTGGACTGGCCCCATAGCTTAGTGGTGAAGGGAGCTGGATCCCACACATCCATCTGAGTAGTTCAAATCCTGGCCCCAGTGACTTCAAAAACATGCTGGGCACATTTATGTGTGTGTCCCAAATCCTAATAGGATTGGAAAATGGAAGAGGGGATTACAGCATGATCACACCCCAATGGGGGGGTGCTCTCTCCCTCTCTGTGTCTCTCCCCGGTGAGCGTAAGCACTATCTGCTCATACAAATCAGAAAGTGGAAAACCAGGGGGTGCTAAGGGTTAACGCAGTGAGGCCGAATAGCGCTGGAGTGCGGAGCACCGTGGCAGCCGCTCTGGATGGGGTGCTCGGGAAAGCCCCGCAAGGAGGTGATATTCCAGCTGAGGTCTCCACGACAGGAGGACCCGCTGGGCTAGTTCTGGTCGGTAACACTAACTGCTGGACCAACTCTGCACAAAGCTTGGGGGCTTTACATGATTTGTATTCCAGGCCCACTCCAAACCTGGTGCAGGTAGTCCTAGCAGTGAAGATGCCAAGTCTGACCACTGCTCTGTGTCTGGCCAGTGGGCAAAGGGGAGAGCAGGACATGAAGGCCCCTCAGGAAGCTTCGTGGTCCAGACCTGGTGGCTGCACACTGCCACTTCCCACAGCCCGCTGACCAGGCCTCCGGGCCAGGCCACCTGCCGGGGAAGACGTGAAGACAGAAGAGGGCTCTGGCGAACACGTAGGTAGCAGCCTCTGCCGCCCCAGCCTCACAGTGAGCAGGGCAGCCTTCCGACCCGAGCAGTAAACAGCGCGGGGACCCAGCGGGGAAACTGGCTTGACACTAGACACTGATAGTCTCTCGTCTGGGGAAGAGGGGATGGCCAGCATGGCTTCTGCAGGACAGATCAGGGCTTCAGTGTGTAGGAAAGCCACGGAGGGAGGCAGGGAACATGCAAGGCTTTGAAGTCAGAGTGAATTTGCACCCGTTGTCACGTGCGATGCATAGATGCGGGGGAGTTCTAAGCAGGAA